ACATATATATATATATATATATATATATATATATATATATATATATATATATATATATATATGTGTGTGTGTGTGTATATGTATGTATGTATATGTATGTATGTAAGCTGGAAATCTGTAGCCATTGACATCCAAACTGGTTGTTTTTCCTTCTAAGGAAGTCAATGGTTACAGGTTTTCAGCATTCTCCTTCTTCTTTAGTGTTTAACAAAAAAAAGAAACTCATAAAGCTTTAAAAACCATGTGTATGTGAGTAAATTATAATTTATGTGTGAACTATCTCTTTAATCCTTTATTAACCTAAATCATGCATATTTTAGAAACACAAGCCATTAAAATAACCACATTTTATTAACAGTGAACAAGTCGAAAGGCTTCATTTTACCAGTGTTGCCTTGACATCGCAGTAGTACTATTACAAACACTTGTTCCTAAGTATACTACATAGAAATCTCCTGTCAGCGCGTTATTAGAGTGGACTTTGTTTTTCTGATGAGCATCCATGGCTCATGCTCAGACTGGAATGTCCACAGAGCAGAATTTTGAGCCATTTTGAACTAGCAAACTAGTAAACTAGCAACAAACTATCTTGTATGCAATAAGCCATGAAAATGAATGGGTTTTATCAAGTGTCCTTTTTTTATCATATATTTTTGGCCATTTTTTTCAATACGAAGATGTCGTATTTAGTTTTTAGATAAAAAAGAAAAATGGCCAAAAATATGAGGCAAAAAAATAGCTATGGTGCAGCACACTGAATGAAACACATTAATAATATATTGATCATTTTCGGCAGCCAAAAATTGGTTGCAACTTTAATATACAGTACATATTATGTTTATCTATTATAGTGCTTTTGTAAAAATTGTTTTAAAGCAGGATCACAACAATAACAACAAGAAAATTAGTTTTTACATGATGTATATGTCATGAAAATAATGAAACCAATTCAGTTTTGACTGTTGATTCACATCAGATCAATAACAGATGTTGTAAAGTTTGGCTTTGTTCTATTCATTGCTGAATATTAGCTTTTCCTCCACTCTCTAGGTGTTAAAACTAATATTCAGTAATGAGCACAACACAGCCGAACATCACAACATCAACATTGTTATTGATCTGATCTGAATCAACATTATGAACTCAAACTGAATAACAATACTGCATCACTTACTGTACATTTTACACCATCCTGTGCCAGTTCATTGAAGATCCGAGAGGTTTTTTATGCCATCATATCATCAGATAATTAACCAGATGCCGTTTCATTGTTCCTACTGCAGTTTGCACTCATTGGTCAGTGAGTCGCTCACATGTGAAACCCAACGACATCAATGAATGTATATTGCAGCCGTAAAAAAAAAGCAGGAAAAGCACTGCTGGGTAGAAAGTGCTAGTGTTGATGCGCGAAGTATGTGGTAATCTCAGGGCACAGCCAACGGTCGATGGTTTATTATGCATCCAAACTCACCGACAGCGTTGAATGTTCCCAGAATGCACCAGATGGGTATTAGTAAAGCCACAAACCTGTGTAAAAAATGCAGACTTTTGCTGTTAGATTTGCTAAAAATGTTTCTAAGGTTGATATGTTATTCTTTAACAGTGAAGAAACATGGTTGTAATAAATAGCGCTTGTATCTTAGATCACTGAGAGATTGTGTGATTATACGCTGCTGTTATAGCCTGTAATTATTAT